CACCCCCCTGCAGCCACCCAAGACAGCGGGACTGGGTGCTGCTCACTCACCATCAATGCCCAGCACCCCCTTACTCCTGTTTTCTGGGCAGGGCTCAAACTGCTCGATGATGTCCTGGCAGCTTTCTAGTGTCACACCCAACATCTAGGCCAGAGAGGGGACAAGAGCCCAGGCCAGCCTGTCACTAGCCCAGCATCCGCCTCCATGGCCACTGCCTCCCACAGCAGGGCGTGGCTCTGGCCCCTGCAGTGTCGTCCCCCCCCCCGCCTGGGGGCTCACCGGCCACCTCCAGTATCACGTGACTTGGGACTGTGGTCAGCAGACTACAGGTGGGTCACATAACTAAGTATCCTCCAAGCAGGGGAGGGGTCTTTGGCCTCATCGGCCAGGCCACCCCCTATTGCTGCATTAGGGGCCCTGAGAGCTGTGGGCCAGAGTGGGCTTGGCAGGGAGCGGGGCCCACTGGGGGGAGCCTGGGGGCACAGGGAGCCTCCCCTGCACCTGGCCCCTCCTGCTGCCCACACGGGGCATGAGCCAGCCAGACCCATGTGGCAGGAACAGGGGGGAAGGCTAGGCCGGGAACCCTGGCCCCTGGAAGTGCTCCCCACTGAGGATGGTGCCGTGGTCACGTGTGGGCTCCCCCTTGAAGCTCAGTGCCTGTGGCCAGGAGCCCCACCCCTGCCGGGCGCCCCACCTTCTGCTCCACCTCCAGGAAGCGCTGGAGGTCGGCGGCAGCCAGGTGGTCCTTGTGGTCACTGTAGGTCAGCATGAGCAGGTAGAGGTCCCGGCGGGTCGACATCATCTTGTAGAAGGCACAGAACTCCTCAAAGCCCAGGGTGCCCTGCTGGGCATCCGTGTCCGCCTCCTGCAACACCGGGCCCGTGGGTCCCTGCGGCCCAGCCTGAGCCGCATTCACAGGGGTCCTCCTGGCCCACACCCACTTCTCAGTCAGCCCCACACACACCCTCCTCCTTGCATGTCGCTGTGCATGTGTGGGACCCTCAGCAGACTCCCCTTCGGACTCCCACCGAGACCACTGGGTGAGCCTCTAACACAGACCTGACCCCACCTCCCCTAGCCCAAGCCTTTGGAGGTGAACCTGCAGCTGAACCCAGCACCGTGACCCACCCTGAGAGCCAGGCCCCTGCACCAGGAGCCAGCAGCCTCCCGGAGCCAATGCCCACCCTGGGCCGTGCGCCCGTTGTGACAATAGCTGCCCCTCAAGCAGCAGAGCCCCGGGGCCTATGATGTGCATGGGGGGCCTGGCTCCAGTCTCCACAGCAGAGATGAGAGGACCCTGGTCTCGGCCACTGTCATCCTTGTGCAGACAGAGTGGCTCACGCAGCACCCACAGGAACCCCCAGGGGCAAAGCCACCAGGACCCCAAGGAGACCGTGGGCCCTTCATGAACCTACCGGCCCAGGGAGCATCTCTGAGGTGGGTGTCAGGCCCTGGGGACACCGAGGACAAGGTGCTACCCTGTCCCACAGGGCTCAAGCCCAGGGACAGACCAGAGGACAAGGGTACACGGGGGACCGGGTGGGAACATACCGGCCTTGGAGGTGACCCCAGGCAGGGAAGACACCGGGTCAGCACCATGGACAGCGGCACAAACCAGCCAAGCAGGCCGTCTGGCTGGTGTCTATTTAATATGTGGCCACACAGTCTGGGGTGGCCTGGGGTGGGTGCCAGGTCCTCAAGGTCCCCTCTGAATCAGGAGCATCCCCAATGAGCCAGGTGGCCATAGCCACCCCACATCCCATCCCCAACAAGAGCAGGGCTCCTAGGAAGGCCAGGTCCTGACCTCGGCTCCCGGCGGCGGGCCCCCTCCCCGGCACTGTGGCCTGGCACTGAGGCAGGCACCTGGCGGGGCCCCAGCATCTCGCTGCAGGACCCGAGTGCCCATGCCAGGTGCTCAGGCCAAGGCTGGGACGGGGCCAGCTTGGTGTGAGGACCCGCCCAGAGCCACGCGTGCCGGGGTCCTGCAGATGCCAAAGGCCCTGGTGTGTCCAGTGCCGGGTTTGAGGGCAGCCCTGCATCCAAGAGCTGGCAGGACAGACCAGTCCAGGGCTCAGGGTGCAAGTCAAAGGGCCTCTTTGGGACAAAGCCGGTCAGGTAGCCCTCCTGGGGGTGTGGCTGGAGCTGGGCACAGGTGCCCATTCTGCTCGACCCACAGGGTGGCCGTTCCTCCCCCGGGCTCTGCCTGGGCAGCATGGCTGGGAGTCCAGGGCAGGGCAGCTGCCTGCTCGCCCCCAGCCGCTGTCCCCAGCAGAGAATAAAAATGTCCCACGGTGCCCTGTCTGGTGTGGCTCAGTGGTGAGAGCGTCGGCCTGCGCCCCAAGGGGGCTCAGGTTCCATTTCCGGTCAAGGGCATGTACCTGGGTTGCAGGTTTGATCCCGGGCCCCGGTTGGGGCGCATGGGGGAGGCAACCAATCGATGTGTCTCTCACATGGATGCTTCTCTCTCTCTCTCTCCCCCCTCCCACTCTCTCTAAAAATCAATGAAAAAAATATCCTCAGGTGAGAGTTAAAAAAAATGCTCTATGAGACCTGAAAGGACGGAGCCGACCCCCCAGCCCCAGAAACACCTCCCCACATGGTTGGGCTGCTGCTTTGCTTCCCAGAAACGGACCAGTGGCAGAGCCGTGCTGGGAGCCGCCGGGGAGCCAGCCCAGGGTGCCCGTTAGGCCAGTAGGCCCCAGGGCCATGCCGGGCCTCGCCTACGTCCCGCTGTCATCTCCGACTTAGTGACATTACGCTCACCCACTCTCTGCCCAGTGCAGGGATCTCCCCTCTGATCAGGCGATTTCAGGGGCGGACACGACACAGGTTTCTCCACAGCCCAGTCGATGCTGCGGGTCAGGGCGGCTCCGCCAGCCGGAGCTCAGCCTCCCTCCCTGGGCTCCGAGGGCCGGCAGAGGCCAGCCAGGCCACAGGCAGGGAGGGCCGGCCGCTCAGGAGCCAGGGCTGTCTCCACTGCAGCCCGGCCACCGTGGACAATGGCCGCTTGGTCTGAGCTGCCCAGGGTCTGGGTCTGGGGCTCCGGGCCAACAGCCCCCGACTCACTTCTCTCCAGTCAGCCTGGAGTCCACCTGCCTGCTGGACCCAGCTGCAGGGTCTCCCCACTCTCCAGGCCTTCCTGGGGGTGGTCAGGTTGAAGCCTGGATACAGCCAGGCCTAGGGTGAGCCAAGGGGAGCCCCTCATGTGCCAGAGGCTGTGTGAGAGGCCCAGCGTCCTTACAGGAGGCAAAGGCAGGGATGAGCTCCCGAGAGCCCCTGACAAGGGGCATTTCCAAGCCAGGACTTTGTGCGAGGCCTCCAGGCCTCAGAGCCTGTGCTCGCTCACACCCCATCCCCTAAGGGGGCTTCCTTTCCTCCCATCTCCTGGTCTCCATGTCCTAAGCCAGCCTGCTGCTGCCCCTGACAGCCTCACCATCTGGAAGGGCCTGTGGCCCGCAGAGCTGCCCCTGGAGGCAGGGCACAGGCTGGGGCTGATCTGCAGGCCTGAGCCATCCACCAGCTCCCACCGCCCAGGCAGGGTCTGCCCCTCGGGGGCCTTCAGAGGGGCCCTACAAGCCCCCCAGTCCTCAGCCAGCAGCCTGAGAGCGTCCTGCTCACGGCCCCCCATTCACACACAGACCCTGAGCCGCCAGCTCCCCTGGCCCCGGCCAAGCGCGACCAGCAGGAGTGCCAGGGGCTACACCCGGCAGAGCTGCCAGGCTGCGCAAGTGTGTGTGCCGGTGTGTGCCGGTGTGTGCACGTGTGTCTGCGTGTGCCTGTGTGTGCTCACACGCGCGTGTACACGCAGGCGGCTGTGCCTCTATGTGTGTGCTCCTGTGTGTGCGCATGCATGGGCCGGTATGTGTGTGAGCTTGTGTGTGTGCATGTGCCTGCGTGTGCATGTGTGTGGACGTGGGGCCTGGTTCAAGCCTTCAAAAGCCTCTTTCCTGGCTGCAGCAGAGCAGCGAGGCCTTAATTACAGACAACAAAGGCTCTGCTCAGCCGATGGAGTTTCATAACTTCTAACAGCAGGGCGGCTGGGGACCGGGAGGCTGCGCCGAGTAGGTGACCAGGCCTGCTACCCGTAAGGGGCATGTGGGCACCTGGGGCCCCACCAGGAAGAGTGCGCCCTATTAGGGCACCTGAATTACGGGGAGGGGCTAGAAAGGGGGTTCAGCCTCCTTTGGGTGGTTTTCCTCACTCACCAACACCGGGCCCAAGTGCCCAGTCCACCAGCCTGGGGAGAGCCCAGCTCTGCAGCTGGCCGAGCTGCGGCCCCCTGCCATTCGCTGCAGCCCAAATGGCGACACCCAGGTCCCCCCGCAGCTCGGGCAGGGCTGTCCTGCTCCCAGACACCCCCCACAGCCCTGGTGCAGCCCTCGATCAGGCTGCGAGCTCTGCCGGCCTTGAGCCCCGGGGGCCCCCCTGCCTCACCTTAAACATCTGCTTCACCCGCTGCCGGGGCAGGTTCACGTTCAGCTTGTGCAGCAGCTGCAGGACCTCGCCGATGCTCAGGCTGCCATCCCCGTTCTTGTCGGCCTCGTCGAACGTCTGCTTCAGCCACTTTGGGGCCGAGTTAGGGGCCAACACGGGTCTCGCAGGGCCAGCGCTCCCGCCTCCAGCCCGGGTCCCCGCGCCCCTTCCCTGTGCCGTTCCCCAGGGGCGCGGCCCGGGCGGGGAGAAGGCCCCCACTCGGGGTGGACGGCAGGTCCCGGGGTCCTGCCCTTGTGCCCAAGGATATTGGTCCCGGGTGCGCTGGCGCCGGGCCAAGCTGTCTTCGTCGCTGATGCCGGCCAGGAGGTAGCGCAGGCCCGTGACCCAGGTCCGCGCCTCCTCGCCGCTGGGCGAGACCAGGTCCAGGGACTGGCGGTGGCTGCCGTGGTAGATGCTGAAGCAGCAGTTGGGATCGAAGCTGCTATCCGGGTACCGCTGGAAGATCTCTGACTGCCGGCCCTCGCTCACCTCCTGGATGGAGTCGATGGAGACTGCGGGGCGGGGGCACCCGTCACGGCCCTCCCCAGGGCAGGGTTCCCCACTCCAGCCCGGGTGCTCCCGGAGGCTGTCCCGCACTCAGAGGCCACCCCACACTTGAGGGCCAGCTTCCTGTCCGCAGGGTCCCCAGGGGGCCCAGTGCCCGGAGCAGCCAGCACTCCGGCCTGGGTGCAGGAGCTCCTGCCGCCTGGGCGGCCTGTGACCCACCTCCCTGGGTCCACAGAGCAGTCCCGTCCCCTCCTCCAGGACGCCCTCCCCGGGGCACCACAGCGGAGGCAGGGCCCCAAGGTGGAGGCTGGCCCTGGCACACCTGGTGCTCCTACTGGCAAAGCCTCAGATGGCCAAGGCCGACTGAGCCCACAGGCGGGGCCGGGAGCCGCCTGAGACATCCGGGGCCCAAGGTCTTGCTGCCCCCTCCCCAGGCTGCTCTGGGAGGGGGCCCACCCCGGGCGCCCCACTCACTCTTGGCTTTCTCGTTCTTGCGCGAGGGCCGCCAGCGGATGCAGGAGCGGTGCTCGTCCAGGAAGTAGAAGCGCACCAGGCCCTTGGAGCCGCCTCGAAGCTTCACCATCTGCGTCCCTGCCTGCATGGCGCTCATGCACCGCTCCACTGGACACGCCGGCCGACATGAACAGGGAGACGACGGGAGGGGACAGACAGACAGACGGGGCACCGTGAGCACCGCAGCATCCCCAACACCCCCTCAACTCGTCGCCCATCCCCCATGTGCCAAGGTGGATGCAGAGACCACCCATCGCCTACCCCCTGCCCACTGGGGGCTGAGCTCAGACCCCCAGGGCACCTGGGGCCCCAGGTGCTGGCCCGGGTCAAGCACCCCATCTGGGACCTTGTTCAAGGGCCAGAGCCCTCGAGGAGAAACAGCGATTCTCCCAGCCGCCCTGCTGCCCTCCCCGATGGTCCCAGGGCCTGAGGGCCAGCTGAGGCCTCAGGCAGGACTGGCCACCTGCCCATCCGACCGTCCACCACCTGGACCAGCCCCGGCAACCACCATGACTTGCCCCAAAGGCTACTACACAGGAGGAGACACACGGGCAGGGACAGGGCGGCTGAGCCCCTCTCAGGAGCCTCGGTGCCAGGCATAGGGCGGTGCCCCCTCCATGATGCCCAGCCTGGCTCCTAGCTGCCTGCACCCTGCCTGGCATGTTCAGAAAGCCACATCCTGCGTGTCGCCGGGTGGCACTGCACACATGCAGGCCACTGCCCCACGCAGATCGGAGCCCAAATCAAACCCCTTCGCGCACGGGGCCCACCTGCCTCTTCCCCACACCCTCCTCTGTGCGCCCAGCCTGCTGTCTACAGTTTGCACCTCCTGGGTCCCAAAGGATGGCTGCACCAGGACGCGGGCTCCCCAGGGTTGGCGGTGAGGGGCTCTCTAAGGGCCACTGTGCTCGGCACCCGCACGCTGGGCTGAAGGCGTTGCTGCCCCCACAGTGCCAGAGAACCCCCTTAGTCAAAGTGTCGGAGCTTCCCCTCGTGCCCAGCCAGCATGCCCACCAGGGCCCTGCCCTCAGCTCCACCTTCCCGCTGTCCACCTGTGGCTCAGCCTCCAGCCCCAAGCGGGGTCAGCAGAAGAGGACACTGCAGGAGCCACCCCCCCAGAGGGAGACCCTAGGGGGCAAGAGGTTAAGGTTTGCGGGGTTGGGGTGGGCAAGCCCAAGCCTGTCACCCCCCTCCTGGCCCCGCTGGCCCTGATTTGGGCGAGGCTCTGGCCAGGAAGGAGCCGGCAGTCCATGCCCCCTTACCTACTGGGCCAAGCTGCCACCACGGGGACACAGCCACGCTCCCTCCGAGCCAGAGGAGGGCCTCTGCCAGGCAGGCCACCGTTCCCTTGGCCCTGCTGGAGGGAGATGGCCAGGGGATGGACATCCCCAGGTGATGGCCGAGGGTGGGCTCTCGGAGGCAGAGAGGACCAACACCCAGCGCCCTCAGCAGCAGGTCAGGCGGTGTGGGCGGCACAGGGGCTGCACAAGGCCCCTTCTCTGCCCTGTGTCTTCCTCCCCCCCTCAGAGCCCCCCGAGGCCCCCGCAGGGCGGCTTCCAGGCCCCCCTGACATTGGCCTGTCCCCTGCTCTCCCGGGTGGCCCCCAGGCCAGCCCACCCGGCAGGGCTACAGACAGGTCCCCAAAGGAGCTGAGAAGCAGGGTCTGTGGGTTGGGGAGCCGCCCGC